CAGCAACTCTTTGTGTATAACTTTATATTTCCATTACCTGTTTATGGAATTCCCTATGAGTACTTTCGTGAGTCTCTCCTCTCTTTTCTCTTTGTCCCTCCATCTCTCGCTCTTCCTCTACTGTTGTGTAGCCTGAGGCGATACTGTGATGTGTCCTCCCTCTGTCCCTCCCTCCCTCTCCCTCTCTCTCTGTCCCTGTCACCTTCAATTGCTCTGTGAAACTAGACACACTGCCTGGGGCGGGGAGGCAGGGAGGGAGGGAAGAGAGGAAAAGAGAGAAGGAAAAAGAGAGACAGACAGACAGCTTTATAGACAGACAGACAGACAGACAGACAGACAGAAGGAATAAACATTTGGTGTCATGTAAAAAAAAAAAAACATGGTAACCACAGCCCACATGTGTGGCACACAAGTTATCTTAATCTTTACAATCCAGCCAAAACACTCAAATAATTTAGTGTCAGAAACACACAATGAAATACATACACACATCTACCCAATTTAGGACAGCATTTGACCTTTCACCTGGGTGAATTATGCTACCGCCTAATCCAACATGGATGCTTCAGGATGCTGTTTATTTTGTGTGTTGTTATAACCCAGTTGCTTCTACTTGAACTGATACCTGTTAAACTGGTTTCTACTTCCCACTGAGAGCAAGGAACATGAGTACTCCTTACAAACACTCCTGTTTGTACTCCTAGAGTCCCTACAAATACAAACAGTGAAGCTTCAGCGCAACCTCAAAACAGTTCAAGCAACTTCTAAAGAACAGAGTTTAATACCTGGAATCAATGTAAGGCCTATTATAGGAGGTATAATATCAAATAATAACTTTTAAGGAGGACGTAAAACACATGACCTACAGTAACTGCAGGGTTTTACACTGGGGGTTGTTTTTCAGCCATAACTAATAATCATACTGCAACTGGCAGTCAAGTGTCTTTACACACAGAGAAACTTCATTGGGCCTATGAGATTAAACTAAATGTTTACATTTGAAGAGGCTCATCATCTTTGATCCTCACTGACATTACTAAAACATAAGATATGATATGATACGATATGATACGATACGATACGATACGATACAATACAATGTGCTTTCATACCATTCCATGCGATGTGATATGATCCGATATGGCGTGATACGATACAGTACAATGCGATATGATACCATGCGATATGATACCATATGATGTGATACCATACCATTCCATGCGATATGATACGATGCAATACAATGAGATAAGGGAAATACAGTTGTTACCACAGCACAAGGACAGCAATAGAACAGATCAATAGAGAAAATAGAAGAATAAATAAGAGGTGTATGAAAAACTAAATGTAAATAAGTATATAATGAAAAAAAAAGTTGTCTGTTTAAATGTGATGAAGCTTTGGCATGTTCACATGTACGTAAATATTTAGGAAAGATAATAATATGCTATATTTTTTAATAAGGTAAAAATAAATTATAATATTAGGTTTAACAAGACAGTATTATATTCATTACCTGCTCGTCACTGATATGATAAATGTGTCAAATGTCAAAAAGCATTATCCATCATAGTAAAACATCCATCCATCCATTTTCGTAACTGCTTATCCTCTTGAGGGTCGTGGGGGCGCTGGAGCCTATCCCAGCTGACATTGGGCGAGAGGCAGGGTACACCCTGGACAGGTCACCAGACTATCACAGGGCTGACACATAGAGACACCACAGCATCACGCCATGCGCCTGCGCTGAAGCGCCTTCCTCTACAACACAGTGATTACAAACCAAAACAAAGAAGACACAATGGCGAAAGCATGCACGGATAACTTTGTCTGGATAGACGACGAGGTGGAGTTGCTACAGTAACAGATCTACACTTCACTTCAAATCAACAGGGTGAGCAGCGCAAACAGAGCTCAGCATTGTTGTTGTGACGGTCGGCATGCCTAGTGACTGGAACCGTAATGCGCATGTGCGAAAAGTCTTCAGAGGAACTGCATATTGCAAGTTTACATGACAACGGAGACGCTACCATTTCCAAAAAGTTGCACTCTGGAACCCGTTTTCGAATCGTTGCGTTTTCAGGCACCCAAAACACCACTGTCGTGTAAACGATTGGCCAAAACGCAACTAAAGTTTACCGTTTTCAGTTGAAATCGTTGTCGTATAAATGGGGCCTTTGGACTGTGGGAGGAAGCCGGAGTACCCGAAAACCCAGGCTGACACGGGGAGAACATGCAAACTCCACACAGAAGGGCTCCCTATAGTAAAACATGTATACCTCAAATAAAACATCCCATGTAGCAGGGTCGTAATCACATATCTAACATTAGGCGGGACCATTGTCAATCTACAACCTCTGTGACCCAACTTTTGTGGGGAGTCTGGGGAGAATTAACCCCTGGAGACATTTTTAGAAACTTAACAGCTGAGCTGACCATTTTTGAGACAAAAACCTTTGATCAGGAGCTCTTAAAGTTTGGATGACTGGGTGCTATTTTAGGAAACTAGGATATGATTATGGCCTGAGAGCTACGTGAGAAAAAGCACACACACTATGACTTTTTATGATCTTTTTTTATGCCATATATTATACACTATGAAAATTTTAGTGACTTTTTTCATGACATACTAAACTATGACCCTTTATGACATTGTTTATGACACACTAACACTTTACATACTTTGTATGTAATCCCTTGAGTTTTCAATGACAGCATGACCACAGTATGAATTTCTGAGTAGGATGTCAGTCTGCATGAATCTACAAATTTAGATGGCTACACTGGTATGTTGTGTACCCCCAACCATGCCCATGAGCTGTTCTGGGACTTCAGCATACACACTTGATGAGAGGCCATTGGTTGATCTTCATCTACCTGTAACTGTCCAGACACCATGATGAGGACACAACTATCTATCATGAGATGGAAGTCTTGTTCAATGATGATGTGCTTAATATGCTGGAAAACCAAGCTTACTAATTTTCCAGTGATGGCTGCTCTCCCCTGAAAAGCGGATCCTTCCCATTGTCAAACAGGCCTCAGCAGAATAGAGGTTACCCAGTCCTGTCCTGTTGTACTGTCAAACTGGTTGTAATATTCTTGGACAAGAATCTTTTGCCATATTTCTTTCTCACAAGCCATCTGTGAAGCTTTGGATTTTTTCTAAATAGTGGGCGAGCCAGCATGGAGCTACAGAGATCCAGTCAAGGATGATGGGGTTCCTGCTTCCTCCGAGTTATGACAATCCACTTGACAAAAACTCTAACAATCAACAGCTATATATACCCTACGTAACACTCAAATGTAACACACTAAATGTGCTGCCCTTTATAACTGTGTTTTGAAAGGTGCTATCTTACGATATAATGACGAAAACTCTGTCTGTCTGTGGGTGTGTCTGTTCCAAGTTTTTCTCATCACTGACTTCATCAATCCATGTGAAATTTGGCACAGTGGTAGAGGGTCATGGGAGGATGCAAATGAAGCAATATTGCATCAATTGGCCAAAGGGTGGGGCGCTATAGCAACTGACTGAAATTGTAAACTTTGAATGGGCATATATCATGCCCCGTATGTCGTAGAGACATGAAACTTTGCACAGAGATGCCTCTCCTCATGAGGAACAAATTTGCATCAAGAGCCCATAACTTCCGGTTATATAGATTTGTCTGCCATTTTGAATTTTTTGAAACTTACAATCGATCTCTTCGATTTGGTGAACATAATCTAGGGACCAATATCTAAAGTTCCCTCTTGGCAAAAGTTGGAAAACTTACTAAAACTGAGCTTCTATAAGGCAATGAATATTGCAGAGGGTGTGGCTCATCACATAAAGGTTTATAACATCTCAAGGGTTTCACCGATCACCATGCAACTTTGTAGACATATGACCACACATAATCTGAGGGGACCCCTCCATTATTGACCCCATCAAACAAAATGGGGGCGCTAGAGAGCTAATTTATTATCTAGGCCAAACCGCCATATCGATTTTTACTAAACTTGGTAGATATGTAGAACAGGACACCTCAAGGTGACTGGAGAAATTTAACTCTAATTGGCAACTGGGTGGCGCTATAACAACAGAAAAATGCTTAAAAATGGCTAAAATGCGACCGATCGCTGTGGCTCCCCCTGAGGCTGAATGTTTTTGGTTTTTTTCTTCTAATATTTGGTATGACTAAGTCATGGTATGGTATGCTGTACATAATCACGGAAACTGTCAGTGTGTCATTCTGCCTGTCCCATGTTTTGGTCAATTTATGTGAAACTGTACATGGGCAACTGTGTACTCAGTGGGTATGTGGGACTAGTATAACTAAATCAATCAACAGCTTCTGCTCGGGTAAGGCAGTCTGGTTTGCAGGTGGTTTGCACAAACCACAGACTGAACTGCATCACACTCTAACACTAGACCCAGTGGTAATAATAATAATGGCAATTTGTTACATTTATTAATAAATATGATTACATTTGCTCATGATAACTGCAGACAGTAGTTGTGTGGTTGCCTGCTGTAGCAAACTTTTTTTTTTTTTATAGTTTTTATTATTATATTGAGAGGGAGGGACATTGTAAACATAATGAATATGAGATGACCCCCCAACATATATTATACATGCCTAGCCAAATAGCATGTCACATGGGAGCACTGGTCGTTCTACACACCAGGTAAATGCTCAAAATGCGTCATAAAAAGTCATATGATATATAGGCTTATTATAACAAAACACATGGACTAACTGCATTTTATCACTTACCAATAACTGGGATTGAGACCTGTGTGACCGAATACACATATTTTCTTGGACGGAGCAGTGAAAAGGTAATTTTATTCAGAAAAACAGTTTACCTGTGACCAAATCAGGAGGACCAAATCAGGCGGAGGATCTGGTTTGTCCGCGGTTGCATAACTTTAATTTGATTGGCTCAGGTGGGAGAGGAGGGCGGCCCTGGGCGGGACAATAGTTTTGATTGGGTGTGGTTGAGAGCACAGGTAGCCATCTGTTTGAGATCCAGGCGTTTACTTGGAATTCACTCAAAAGCATTATTGGGAAGGCTGGATCTGTTGTCGACGGTTAGACGCACAGAAAAGCGAGTTTAACGAAGGAAATGTAACTTTTTTAAACACTTCCGTTACCTGTTGTGAGAGTTTCAGTTAGAGTAGAGGAAGCAGAAGTGGGAGGTGGATGTAACGTTATTTGGGGAACAAAAAGAAGAAAAAGGGGATTTTCGCGGCTTAAGAGATTTGTTGGCTCTGTGACATTTATTGCTGTAACATAATTTGTTGCGCGAAACTTCACAAAATGTCGCCGAGATTAGAGTTTCATGTCATTTTTTGGTGCGTAGCAGGTGAGTACCGACCGTTGTGTGCCCCCTCCATCCCCTCCCTGCTCTCGCCATGTCTGTTGTTTCTTTGTCCACCTGTAGACACAGCCTGTATGCGCACTTTCAGCTACTTCAGTGAAACTGAATTTTGTATCCTAATGTTAAATAAAGGTCAGAGTGGATCTCAATTGTATGTTATGTTTACATTCAGGTGTTTTGGCTTCCTACGCCCAAGAGTGTGGTCGACCGACCATAGTGGAGAACAGGATTGTGGGAGGGAATGACGCCACAGATGGGGCCTGGCCGTGGCAGGTGGCTATCCAGGTAGGTCCCTCTGAAACACCTATTTTAATGTTCTGAAGTATCAGTTTTGCCTGGGGGTAGTTAGATGTGTGGTTTAGTCTGGGTCTTGGACCTGCTGAGAGAGGGATTTGCTTGTGATGCTGAGGTGACTCACTCTTTCTCCCCCCCCCTTCGACCTCCAGTCAGGCACTGTTCATATCTGTGGAGGCTCCATCATCACAAAGGACTGGATCCTCTCAGCTGCTCATTGTTTCCCCAAGTAAGAACTCTCCTCAGACAATTCATGGGTTCTCAACCTCAGTTTGTGAGATCAAGATTAAGATTGCCCTACGCCCATAGTGCAGCCCTAGAAATACAACATACAACATAGTAGGCCTACATAGACAGATCGACATTATACCCAATGTAGCAATAGGAAACACAAGAAGATAAATAACATCATACACTAAAAATACCTCTATAAAGATGTAAATTGGCATAATCCAGTGCCAGATCATTTTGTGGGAATTCTTAGCTGCCTCAGTTTTGTTAAAGACCTTAAGGAAAATCTTGTGTTTAATGTCATTCAGGAAACTTACCTACATCATATTCAGCATCAAATTGATTCTTTCAAATTTTCAATTTCAATTTCTAGAGAGTAGAAAGTCTTCAAGACAAGAACTATCCAGGGTCCATGCAGACAATGGTGTAAGGTAGTTACGACGGGCCCCAGTGCTTGCTAGTTACTAGTTAGAAGGCGCACACACACACACACACACACACCACTGGCACCTGTTTTTATAAATGCCAAAGGAATCTAATTTAGGGAGCTTTGCTTCTTTTTTCTCCTGTTAGTTTCTCTTTTGTCCTTTCTTACTGCCACTTTTCTGTTTAAGAGGACTCGCTGGACTGACAGATATTATGCCTAAACTAGCTACTGAATTGTATCGTCTTGCCACATGATCAAAAAGAGAGTTGACATTAGGCAACATCAACATACATGTTACCCAACAATCATCATTGCATACCTGTATGTGCAACTGCACTGCCCGCACTGTCTATATTTATGCCCCTGCCTGTGGATCCATAAAAAGTCTGAAAAGGCATTGAATTCATAGATCGAAAAGTAAGGTGTTGGTATTAAAATGCCTTAAATCAATCTTTCAAAAGTCCTGAAAATTGCAAAAAGTTTTTCAAACAGCACAATGAAAATCAAGGCATTGGAATCCTGCATGCAGAGCGAGAAATATAAAATCGCCAAGAAAACGTGCCAGTAAATGTCAGGTATTTCCTAGTTCTGTTAAACCCTGGATGCCGCCACGAAACCTTAAACTCATTTTTAATGTTAAAATAAACAATTTGGCAAATGTAATCCACCTCAGGGCTTTATTTAAAAGTAGCAACCAGGTGCCAGATCGTAAGCAGCAGACTTCCAAGAGACACAGTGCTAAAAAAAAAAAACATACAGTGCCCTCCAAAAGTATTGGAACAGTGAGACCAATTCCTTTATTTTTGTTGTAGACTGAAAATATTTGGGTTTGACATCAAAAGATGAATATGGGACAAGAGATCAACATTTCAGCTTTTATTTCCAGGTATTTACATCTGGATCTGATACACAACTTAGAAGATAGCACCTTTTGTTTGAACCCACCCATTTTTCACGAGAGCAAAAGTATTGGAACATGTGACTGACAGGTGTGTTTTGTTGCCTAGGTGTCTCCCAATTACATTGATTATTCAAACAATAAATAGCACTGAATGTCTGAGCTCAGTTTCAGATTGGGTACGATAGGTTTTGCCTGTGCAGACTGCATTTAGAGGTGGAACCAACATGAAAACCAGAGAGCTGTCTATGGGTGAAAAAGAAGCAATTGTGAATCTGAGAGAAGATGGACAATCAATCAGAGCCATTGCACAAACATTGGCCATAGCCAGTACAACCATTTGGAATGTCCTGAAGAAGAAAGAAACCACTGGTGTACTAAGCAACAGACGTCGAACAGGTAGACCAAGGAAAACATCAGCAGTTGATGACAGAAACATTGTGAGAGCTGTAAAGAAAGACCCTAAAACAATTGTTAGTGACATCAGCAACATCCTCCAGAGGGCAGGAGTGAAGGTATCACAATCTACTGTTCGCAGAAGACTTCATGAACAAAAGTACAGAGGCTACACCAGAAGATGCAAACCACTCATTAGCAAGAAGAATAGGAAGGCCAGGCTGGAATTTGCCAAAAGGTACAGAGATGAACCTCAAAAATTCTGGGAAAAAGTTTTATGGACTGATGAGACAAAGATTAACTTTTTCCAAAGTGATGGAAAGGCGAAAGTTTGGAGAAAGAAAGGATCTGCTCATGATCCCAAACATACAAGCTCATCTGTGAAACACGGTGGAGGTAATGTCATGGCTTGGGCTTGCATGGCTTCTTCTGGGACGGGCTCTTTCATCTTCATTGATGATGTAACACATGATGGCAGCAGCAAAATGAACTCAGAAGTCTACAGAAACATTTTGTCTGCTAATTTAAAGAAAGATGCAACCAAACTGATTGGGAGATCCTTCATCATGCAGCAAGATAACGACCCAAAACACACTGCCAAAACAACAAAGGAGTTCATCAGCGGCAAGAAGTGGAAGGTTTTAGACTGGCCAAGTCAGTCTCCAGACTTGAACCCAATAGAGCATGCATTTTACCTGCTGAAGAGGAGACTGAAGGGAGTAACCCCCCAAAACAAACAACAACTGAAAGAGGCTGCGGTGAAAGCCTGGAAAAGCATCACAAAAGAAGAATGCAAAAGTTTGGTGATGTCAGTGGGTCACAGGCTTGATGCAGTTATTGAAAGCAAAGGATTTGCAACTAAATATTAAGTCTCATTCACTTTAATCTATTTTAAGTTTATATGTTCCAATACTTTTGCTCACCTAAAAATTTTGTGTTCCATTACAAATAATGCTATCTTCTAAGTTGTGTATCAGATCCAGATGTAAATACCTGGAAATAAAAGCTGAAATGTTGATCTCTTGTCTCATATTCATCTTTTGATGTCAAACCCAAATGTTTTCAGTCTACAACAAAAGTAAACGAATTGGACTCACTGTTCCAATACTTTTGGAGGGCACTGTATATAGCGAGGTGAAATGTCAGAAGAGAGTGAAACTGGGGTTGGCTTTTATTTTTACTGTCACTTTTACAATTATTACTTTACAATCCTGCATAGTACACCTGTGAGTTTTACTTGATGACTGTCTAAGGGCCAAAATGTTTCACATTTTAAACCCCACTTGATTTCCAGTCTAGCAGGTGTCATTCAGTGACCCTCTCTCTTCTTTCAGTCCATCTGACGTGAGCGGTTACATTATCTACACTGGCCGGTACCAGCTGAATGGCTTCAACCTGCACCAGACATTGCATCACGTGAGCGAAGTGGTGGTCCCATCCGGTTACACTGACCCCAACCAGGGCAAGGATTTGGCGTTGGTGCGACTCTCCAACTCAATAACCTTTTCGGATTATGTCCGTCCCATCTGCTTGCCTGCCTCTAGCACGCTGTTTCCAAGTGGCATGATGTGCTATGTCACCGGCTGGGGAAACATCCGGAATGATGGTAAGGCTTGCTAAATTCTTCATGACTAGTTAGCATGTGTGCAGTTAACGTTTTATAAGTCTTCAAAATATATGATTGTTTGTGGACTCTGGCATGAATCTTCTTTTCATTTACGGAAAAGAAAAAAATATGAAGGATTCAAGGAAAAAGGTACCAGATAGTACACAGCAGGCAGAAATAAATCTTGAATGAGTTACTCTCTCATTCCTTTAGGTATCACTTACAGTTTTTCTTTAGCAGAGCGTGTAACAGACGGTTTATGGAAGCCAGTTCTTTACAAGCCGAGCCAAGTTGTAATTAGATATATTCATTCATTTACTTTCGGTTGAATTGTGATGTGTGTTTGTAAATGTTGAGGTCAAAGTAATCATTCCATTCAAGTTTTACACATGAAACTAGAACTTTACACATGAAACTTAAACTAAAAAGAAAAAGACTGAATTTAGCCACGCTTTGTTTAGTTTTATCTAATAGTATCATATTAAACCAGAAAAATGCACTAGTAGAGTGCACATCTCCACCAGACGGCCGCCTAAGCTGATCGTAGTCACTCGAGACAATCCTTGCAATGTCAGCAGACGCGTCACAGTGTGTTTCCGAAGCGTGCCAGAAGCTAATAAAAATACACACCTTGCCTATTCTTTGATCCATGTTGTTCTTTCATATTGATCTTTGAACAGTATTAACTTTGTTTTAAGCTACAGCACAGCAAAATAGGAAATAACAACAATAAACAGACAAAATAGAAAACTTTTAAATACATACCTGGTTACTAGCTTATGGTAAAAGCACAAATATTCTACAAAACTCAGGCAGGGAAAACAATCTGCTTCTGAAACACTGGGTGCGGTATGACACCGGGTGGTGGACAGAACAAAACCGGGTCACAGCTGCGCCTGGTTGAATTGTCCCTTCTGGCTCCCTTACAGTTAAGATGGCGTTGAAGATCAAGAAAACTGGGACTAATTCATCTTGTAACTTTAGAGGATCATAACACATTGGGTATGGAATTAATCTGCAGATGCCCCAGTTCAAAATGAGACCAATCCTTACTATGGATGTCAGTTTTTGAGCCACAACGAAGGTCAAAATGTGGCCTGCAACAGGCAGTAAGGCTTGCTGTTTTAAGCTGAGCCAATGTCTGGAAAACTTCCGCTCCCTATCAGCCAGCTAAGAGAAGCGAGGTGTCAGTAGTCAATAAAACAGGTTTTAAACAACTGTGAATCACTGCAACCATGAGAGGTCCTTGAGCATACAGTCATAAATGTGCAGAGAAAATAGTAGACTGATTGGTCCAGTAGTTTGTGAGATTAGCTGCAAATAGACAGATACACACACTCAAGCACACACGACCAAACGCATGATTGTCTCTGGGCTCACGCCTGGTGAGGATAGCAATGTTTACATATTTGCAAGCCTACACTAAGAAAACAATACAAAGAACAGAAAGTAAAAAGGTTACGTCTACACAAAGACAAAATACACAAAGCAACAAAAAACTGGAAAAGAACAATAAATAGCATAAAGCACAGTCAAGATGGTCGTCTAAATGCTTTACTAGACAAATATACTAAAAATAAACATGTCTTTTAAACATCACTCCTGTAGATAGTAACAAGAAATGCTCACTAGCTACATGCTTAGTTACAGAAATTAGGAAGTCTCAGACTCCTTTTGTTCCTCATCCTCTATCTCCCCTCAGTCCCTCTGCCAGGCATCGGGACTCTGCAGGAAGTGCAGGTGCCAATCATCTCCCAGAGTTCATGTCAGGAGATGTACCGGACGAACCCGAATGAGCAGGTGGACATCCTGTATGACATGATCTGTGCTGGATACCAGGAGGGCGGCAAGGACTCCTGCCAGGTACTGTTGGATCAGCTGTTTGTGCTGCTGTGTTTACATCCACAACAGGGCTGCACAGTGTAAGGAAAAGATGTGACGACTTTGTTGGATATCACGATAACATTAGTACAATAAATAAACAGATATTAAAGTATTCTCAGTTTTTGACTCAGACTTGCTCAGCACTCATTTCGGCCATGCCATCTCTCGTTTATCCAAAATATTGACAGGTGGCTAATTTACTTTTTTTTTTGTTGTTGTTGTTTCTGGCACCAGTTCCTCTCTGGCATTCACTCTTTCATCTACGCTCACCTTGTCACTTTGCTTCTCCATCCATGCATGTGCAAAACAAGAACCTACATTGAAACTACCTGGCTGGATGGCTACTTTTCTATAATCATGCACCCTCTAGTCTCTAGTTTCGTGAGCACTTTGATACCTCCCAGTGGTGTAAGCTGAATGCGTCTGTTTGTGTTTGTTGTCCTTTCAGGGTGACTCAGGAGGGCCTCTTGTCTGCTCCATGGTGAATGGGACCTGGGTGCAGGCTGGGGTGGTGAGTTTTGGACAGGGCTGTGCTCACGCAAACCAGCCAGGTGTGTACACCAGACTGACCAGCTACTCCAGCTTCATCAGCAACACGGTACCAGGGATCCGGCTGTATGGCCGAGCTAATCAGATCTGGTGTGGGAAGGCTGCCATGTTGGTCAGCTTTCTGTCCACTCTACTGGTCCTGCTTCAGAGGTAGAACACTTTGAAAATTGGATTTCTGGGAGGTGGATCACAAATCAGGCCAAATGAAGGAGGAGATTAATCCTATGTCTGACGTGTGTCCAAAGTTATCCTGAATAGTAAAGCTAAACTGTATCTTACGTGCACATGAAGCCACACTGAACATGAAATGTAATATAATCTTCATTTTTAGAACTTAAAGTCTGCATTATGATTTTTGAGTAAAAGCAGTTTTGATAGGTTTGTATTTTAAATCAGAATTATGAAGTAAATAAATTATGTGTTCTGTATTTGAAATAAATTGTTAATTTGATTCTTAAAATCAGGTCAGTGCTCTGTTCAACTTCTCATAGTGGAGTTTGGAGGTGTTTTACAAGTATCATGTTGTTAATGGATCAAAGCTGTGCTGTAAAACTGTAAATAATAGAGCCTTTGAATTAACAAAGCCACTTTTGGAACATTACCTCATTCTTGGTACACATTTCTGAAATGCAAATTATCTCATTTTTATTTCAAATTTGTCTTCCTCACAGACAACCAACTTAATCTCAGTTTAAATTGCTTATTTTAGTATAGTTCATTAAATATCCAGAGGCAGAAACAGGTGATGACACAGTTTTCTTTATTGTAAAGAAAGCGCAGCATGTCATAATGGTAAAAAAAGACTGCTTGGTAGTGCCTATTAAAAAAAAAAGCTAGCTTTTAAATTAATTCGTTAAGTCTTTACTTGATGTTTTCATGCTTAAAAAAATCCAACATTTACACAAATCCAAGTGTTGACTTTGAAATTCCAGGAAAGGGAAGGTCAGGCATCAGGGGGAATGGTATCAGAGAGGATCATGGGAGAGCCGAGTTGCAGCTCCTGCTGCAGCGATTCCAGATCAGCTGGAGTCATGCGGTGAACCTCGCTCCAATCAGATAACAGGGAGGCCGACAGGGGGGCAGAGTCGTAACTGATGGAGAAGAGAGGAAGTATAAAAAACATGAAGCGTAGCCTTCTTTTGATTATACCTAACATGAGTGCCAACACTAGCTGCAGTCACATAGAGAATATTTCTTCAATCTGATTGAAATCGATGTACATTTACATGCCCCAAAGCATTTAATCAGAATATAACTGGTTTGCTCTGCAATTGCATCCAAACTGTTCCTGAATGTTTATTTATTTTTAACGTAATTAGTAAATAGGTGTAAATATGAACCCCTCCCTTTAATCTCTTTGGCTGTATTGTGGTCTCAAGGGAGTTTCTCTGTCCCTTTCAGAGAGTATTCTCCAGTGTTTGTTGTCATGGTGTAGCCTTTGCATCAGTTACCTGAATCAACTGTGTTCCACTGAGTTTTTATTTTTGTCGTATTTTTTTTTTTTTTTTTCCTTAAATGGGGTGAGGCTACATTAATTAATTACTTTTTTTGGCGTTTTACTCCCAGGGATTTTGTTTCACTTTGAGTGGTGTGGTGAGTGAGGTTGTTGTCAGTTCTACACTGCTGTCTGTCTCCCCGAGGTGACACCATGCACCATGAACAGAAGATAATCTCACACTGAGCTAAAGTGAAATGAGTGCTCATAATTTTGGTAAAAAACATAAATAAACAGTCTCATACTGCATATTTGCTGTCAGTTTTGGCATATGGTGTTTTCGCCACAGTTGGGACTTAACCTCTGCTCTTACAAACATGGTCCCTGCATGAAAGTTTGACAGATAAAAACACGTGTGTGACAGCTGATATAAAACAAAGGACCAGATCCTCTATTTAGCTCAATATAGCCAATCCAGATCAGTTAAAAAATGCCTTTATCAGCCCCGAAACCGATCTCTGAGATTGAACCAGGACATCCCGAGTAAGTAATGTAAGTGTAATTCACTTGGTTGGGTTAAACCCAGGTTACTTTATACAGCTACAAATTATAGATGTCCCCTTAACACCTAATATGCAGGGTTCTGTTACTGGTGGTGATTGGCAATTGTTATGTCCAGTGACTCTACAGTTAAGCCTGTAGCAATCAGCCTCAGAACAAAGCACTTTGAGTTTATAAATGATTCTACTTTGTAGTACAAAGTCGCCCTCCACTCGTGTGTTTTGCATCTTGTTACTTCTTAGATGTTTAAGTTTCACTGCAGAATGATGTATGTGCAGAGTTTGATACTGTCCACACAAGCTGTCCAAGCTTACCATAAATCTGAACGTAAAACGTATACATACAAGAGATTTTTCATGGTTAGTGTGGAAGCTATCATGGTCCAGTATGTAACTGACACAAGTGTGAACTTGAAATCTCTGGTATACATACATTAAGAACTGTCTTTACAGTTTAGAAGATGCAAATATTTATCTCAGGCCTTATATGTATACTGGATATATTTTTATATGTCCTAAAACATGTCTGGCAGGGATCTTTAAGGAAAGCCAGCTCAAATCAGGACGACTTCATGATATGAGACGAGATGTTTCCTTAGATTTTGGATATCGTTAAGTGTTGTCTCTTCCTGGTTTTACAGGCTGCATTACAGTAAAATGATGTAATGTTCTGAGCTTATCAGACTGGTCAAGCTGTTCTATTATTTGCTTTTCCCCACTTAGTCATTATGTCCACATTACTGATAATTACTTATCAAAAATCTCATTGTGTAAATATGTTGTAAAAGCACCAATAGTCAACCCTGCAATATCTATGTCAGGGTATTTGGTCAAAAATATCATGATATTTGATTTTCTCTATTGCCCAACCTTACGTCAAGTTTCATTCAGCTGTTGCTCAGTGCTTGGTCAAAGCTTATAAACTTTGCTGTCAGAGGTAGTTTACAGTGTAACTAAAAATAAGAACGCAACTGTTGAATAAATAATTTCCCGAAAACAAGATCATCAAAAAGCAAATGGGCTGGGCTCGGCTTGAATTACACTGTACTCAAAGGATGGCAGTGAGATCTGGTGTTTGCACTTGGTGGGTCAACATGCGTCATCAAACTTGAGGAACAATTACAGCTATTAATTGTGCTTTGAATGTCCATATGGGCACGATATAAACTAGAAACTATCCTTTGAGATAACTTCTTCTGTTGCATTTATTGGGACAAATCTGGTGTGACTACATTACATATAACCTGATTTAACCACAGTTAAATTCTGTGGTTGAGCTGTGGTTTACCCAGAGCTACTGCGCGGCTGCAGAGCCGTGTTTATTTAAATAATGACTCCCGGATAATAGTGTGATATGAGCAGGTAAAACTTAGGCAGAAAACATGTCCTGTTCTAGTATTATTACATTAGTTTTGTTGGTGAAAGCAGTTTTAGAAACAAAGCTCACTCTGTATTAGACCTTACCTGTCCCGGTCACAGTGTTGCAGGTCTGTGAGAGATTGGTTGAGGAGGTCATCCAGGTCAAAGCCCACGCCATACCCAGCCCCACTGCCTTTAGGGGTGACCGAGAACACCGGAGGTAAAACGTCCTCTACCTGACAGGAGAAAAAGGGGAAACATTGGGTCAACTGAACTTTGTATCTTCAAGATCGGTTCAAGGAAAACAGAAGATTGTGACATTTAAGCCTGGCATGTATGTACAAAAAAATGTGAGTGTCTACAATCAAAGTAGAGTTGTTCCAATACCGATACCAATATCGGAAATGCCTCTGATACTGCCTTAAATGCTGGATTGGGTGTCAGTGAGTATGCCAGTCAGTGAACCTATCAGATACCAAAGACTTCAGCAAAATGTTAAATTAGTTTATAAAAGAAACTTCTATGCATTCATTCTCTGGATGTATTTGTTCATGTTTTACAAAGCCATGCTATACAACAAAGACCATAGAGGATCCATACAGGGTTAGTAGGGTTAGATTCATCCAGATCCATACAAGGTAAGTAGTACACAGCTGTTCAAACATTTTTTTAAATGCAATGACATCAGATTGGTTCTCGGTACTGGCCGATAAGCAAGTTCAGGAATCTGCATTGGGATGGAAAAAATTGTAACAGAACATTTCTAGATGAAAAAATTGTCAGTGCTTTGTCACACAGCTTTTTTTTTCAGGTAAAATGCTACCTGCAAAAAGCAAAATTTCACCTAAACCTGAGACACACCTGGGACTTTGAGAGCTGCAGCGTTACTGTATGGATGTCAGGGGCGATGGAGGGCCCTTGCTGTCCAGTATCTGTGAATCCTAAGCTGGGATGAGGCTGTGAGGGGACCCCTAAAGCCCCACAGAGAGGGTTTGTGGCCTGTGGCCCAGATTTCTCTCCTACAGAGGGACACAGCTTCTCCATTGGGCCAGCGTTTGCAGTGGAGCCGTTAGGGTGGGAGTTGAGGTTATTTTGGCGTCCAATATTCACATTCCCGTTCGTCTCTCTGGTGGTTAACGTTGGAGCTTTGGTCAAAAAACTCTCCAGAGGAAGTAGTTGCGACTGGGGTTGAGGGTCAGGCTGGGTTTGACTTTGAGGTTGGAGCTGGGGCTGAAGAAAGCCTGACGGTGGAGGCTGTGGCTTCCTGTTTGGTTGTTGTGGTTGTGTCGGCCTCGCCTCAACTTGCGGCCCGTTCCAGTTCCCCAAACAGTTGAAACTACCGTTGGTCTCACTGTGAGGTTTGAGTGTGTTCTTAACAAAGCCACTAGTGACAGTCATTATATCCATCCCTCCGCTTACAGCAACAACTATATCAGATGGAGGTTTCCTCTGGCTCAGGGAGAAAAGTACTGATGGTTGCTGGGTGCTGGGGGGCTGAAACATGCCCTGCTGGTTAGGTTTAACTTGAGAGATTAACTGTTCATGTGGCTGGACCTTCCTTGCCTCCTTGCTTGTTTTATTGTTCGGTGCTCCTTGAGTGTTATCGCTGATGGCTACACCCCGGTGTAAATTCAGACTGCAGTCCTTGTTCTTTGCTCCGTCATTATTAGGAGCCTGAGATTTC